TGGGGAATTTAAACCTAGAAAAATTTAAATTGATCTAGATTGATTCCATATACAAACAACTCCCAGATTTTTCAGACTGTAATGTGACTATCAGACTGTAATGTGACTATAAATTGGAAATGAGGGGGCTGGGAAGGTGGCTCAGTGGTAGAGCGCTTGCCTCGCATGCATGAGGCCCTGGGTTGGATTCCTCAGCACCACACAAGCAAAAAGAAAAAAGCCGGAAGTGGCGCTGTAGCTCAAGTGGAAGAGCACTAGCCTTGAGCTGAAGAGCTGAGGGACAGTGCCCAGGCCCAGAGTTTAGGCCCCACGACCGGGTCCCCTCCCCCCCCCCAAAAAAAATTGGAAATGACTTTTCTATACAAATATTACTGTACAATGAAAAGTAAAGAGTTCTGGGTTCAACTGTCAACAAAAGAACTGAACAATGCCACATGAAGCTTATACAATGGTTTTTTGTGTGTCTGTGTGCCAGACTTGGGGCTTGATCTCAAGACATGGGTGCTGTTCCTGAACTTCTTTGGTCCAAGGCAAGGGCTCTCCCACTTGAGCCACAGTGCCACTCTGGCACTTCTGGGTAGTTTTGTTGGAGATAGACTTTTCTATCTGGTCTGGCTTCGAACCACGATTCTCAGATCTCAGCCTCTTGAGTTGCTAGGATTACAGGCATAAGTCACTGGCACCTGGCTTTGTATAGTGAAGACATTACACCTTGGGATAGGGTTTGCTTCACCACCACCCTCAACCTCTAGGGTTTTCAAGAGGCAGAGGGCGATGAGAGCCCCAGTTCCCTTAATGGTCACAGGGGGTAAGTTTAAAGTCAGTTGGAAGGCAAAGGCTGTGAGAACAAGAAGATGGCATTGGAGGGTCCAAAGCTCACTCCTCCCCACAGCAACGCCCCCAGCATGCTCCAGGGCCTGCCTCCTCTTATTATAAGGAGATGTAGCCTGCCCAGGGAAGGAAAGCTCAGGAGGCTCTTTCAACTACCAAAAAGTCAGAAGTGAAACTGTGGCTCAAGTGGTACAGCAGTAGCTCTGAGCAAAAAAACTCAGGGATAGTATCCAGGCCCAGAGTTCAAGCTCCATGAATGGGAGAAGGGCTAGAGAAGGTGTGGATGGAGTGGAGAACGACATACAGGTTACAAAAAAAAAGTACATAGTTTTATATATATCTGTAAGAGTAATGCTAAGGAACAGAAAGGAAGGAGTAAAGAAAATGTACAAAGAAACATGCAAATGTCATAAAAGAAAAATATGAAAGTCAATGTAAACAAATTGAAAAACACCCTGCTTTCTTTCACAGAAAAAGCCAACATGGTTAATTGATCAACTCAATGTAATCTCAAAACAAATATCAACACACTTTTTCACTGCATGAAACAAGTTAACACTAAAGTTCTGGTGGAAAAACAAATAACCAAAAAATAGAAAAGCAAGTCCAGGAAACATTCACTGCCTGACAAAAGAGACATCATAAACCACTCAGGTAAATGCAGTCTGTGTAATAATGGGTGTAAATATGGCATAGGAAAAGGCTTTTTAACGGCAAGTCAATCCAGAGACAATTAAAAAATCCGATTAGATTAAAACTACACTAAAAAAAGACTGTAAACAAAAACAAAAAGAAAATGGACAAAGATAAGAAAGGAAACTATCAGGAGATGAGGACTTGCTGTGCAGCCCGAGCTAGCTGCTCTAGTGAGTCCCATCTCAGTCTCTCAAGTAATGAGATGATAACTATGAGCCGTAGCACTCAGCTGTAAAAAAGAATGTAAATAAAAGACAAATCCAGTTAAAAAATAAGAGATATGGGCTGGGAGGTTGCTCAGTGGTAGAGCACTTGCCTTGCATGCATGAGGCCCTGGGTTCGATCCCTCAGCACCACATAAGCAAAAAGAAAAAAGCCAGAAGTGGTGCTGTGGCTCAAGTGGTAGAGCGCTAGCCTTGAGCTGAAGAGCTCAGGGACAGCACCCAGGCCCAGAGTTCAAGCCCTATGACTGACAAAAAAAAAAAAGGAAAGAAAATACATGTGCACAAAAATATGTATTGCAGTATTATTTATCATTTCAAAATCCTAGCAATAGCAATGCCTATATACAAGACAACAACTCAGTGAACTGCAGTATAAGCATACAATGGAGTACTATATAGCTGTGAAAGGTATGAGATCATCTCCAAGAACAGATATCCCACAACATACACCAGTGAAAACTACAGACTACAAAAGATACCGAAAGTATGCTGTCTCTCAAATAAGAAAGAAGGGATGGTAAAGAGATAGACAACTGTGTGCCCATTTGTAAAAAGGAAGAGAAATTAGGAAGTAAATCAATCAGTTACTGAAGGTTTAGATACTGTCTCCCGTAGGTCTATGTGTGAAAGGCTTGGTGGCAAGTGGGCATTAAGATCTTTTGGGGAGAAGTCGGGGTGGGATGTCCTTAAGCCACAGGCAGCATGCCCCCAAAGGGACTGTGGAAACCCTATCCAGCCTCCATCATTTTGCTTCTGACCATACGTGAGCAGGTCTGCTCTGTCTTACTTTCAAGCCGGTTACTGTCTTTCCATAGGCCCAAAGCAACAGGGGCAACTGATCACAGAAGAGAATCTCCAAAACTGATATTGTATCTTTCTTTTGTTGACAGTACTAGGAATTGAACACTCATTTCCAGGCTTGCTTGCTTAGCTGGAGCTCTACCACTTGTCTCTAGCCCTGCTTTGTGTGCGTGTGTGCATGTGCATACGTGTGTGCATACGTGCTAGTCCCGGGGCTTGAACCTGGGGCTGAATGCTGTCCCTGAGGTTTTTGTTCTCCTCAAGGCTAGTGCTCTACCACTTGAACTACAGCTCCATTTCTGGCTTTTTGCTGATTAATTGGAGATAAGAGTCTCATGGATATTTGTGCTGGAGCTGGCTCTGAATCATGATCCTAAGTTCTCACCAGCCCCAGCACATAAGAAGACTCTTGTCTCCTAGGATTACAGACATGAGCCATCAGTACATACCTGCCAGTTTCTGCTTGTGTTGACCTTGAACTATGATCCATTGAGTCATTATGAGTTACAGACATGAGACACTGGTACCCAGCCAAATCTTTTTTCTTTGTAAGTTAATCATTTCAGGTATTTTGTTATAGTGCCAGAAAAATGACTGACACAGCTGCCCACAAAGGTGAGTGGAAAAAGGGAATGCACTGGAGAACGGAACATGGCCACAGGGTTCAAGGGCATACATTCTTTTTTTTGGTCAGTCGTGGGGCTTGGGAGTTGTCCCTCAGCTCTTCAGCTCAAGGCTAGCACTCTACCACTTGAGCCACAGCACCACTTCCGGCTTTTGTTGCCTATGTGGTGCTGAGGAATCGAACCCAGGGCCTTGTACATGCAAGGCAAGCACTCTACCACTGAGCCACCTTCCCAGCCAGGGCATACATTCTTATACCTTGGACTCAGAACCACGATGGCATTCCACACACCCTCACAAACTAAGAATCAACAGAGGTGAAGTCAATTTGAGAGAACCAAAAGTGGGATATAATCGCCAGTGAACTAAACAAATACTTGATAATATCCAAGTTATTAGAAAATAGTATTTTGGGGCTGGGAATGTGGCTTAGTGGTAGAGTGCTTGCCTAGCATGCATGAAGCCCTGGGTTCGATTCCTCAGTACCACATAAACAGAAAAAGCCAGAAGTAGCACTGTGGCTCAAGTAGTAAAGTGCTAGTCTTGAGCAAAAGCAGCTCAGGGACAGTGCCCAGACCCTGAGTTCAAGCTCAAGCCTGGCCAAAAAAAAAAGAACTTTGTTTATATACAGTAAAGCTAAGCACATGAATTGAGCCAATAAGCTGGGCGCACACTGGGAAGGTGGCTCAGTGGTAGAGTGCTTACCTTGCATGCATGAGGCCCTGGGTTTGATTCCTCAGCACCATACAAGCAGAAAAAGCCAGAAGTGGCTCTGTGGCTCAAGTGGTAGAGGGCTAGCCTTGAGCTGAAAAGCTGAGGAGGAACAATACCCAAGCCCAGAGTTCAGGCCTCGTGACCAACAAAAAATAAAAATAAATAAGCTGGGGAAGTGGTGCTGTGGCTCAAGTGGCCCACTCCTTGAGCTGAAGAATGCAGGGACAGCGCCCAAGCCCAGAGTTCAAGCCCCATGACTGACCATAAATAAATAAATAAATAAATAAATAAATAAATAAATAAATAAGCTGGGCACTGGAGGCTCACACCTGATCTGAGGATCAGGGTTTAAAGCCAGCCATGGCAGGAAAAGCCATGAGACTCTTATCTCCAATAAGCCACCAGAAAACCAGAAGCGACACTGTGGCTTCAAGTGGTAGAATGTGCCCTGAGCTAAAGAGCTCAGGTACAGCGCCCAGGCCCAGAGTTCAAGGCCCACAATCAACAAAGACCAAAAAAAAAAAAAAAAAAAACCCAGTCAATATATATAAATAGGTTTTTCACAGGAACATTAGCTTCCAATTCTGGAACTAAATTCTCTGTATTCTAGAAATGAACAAAACCAAAATACCTGCAAAAAAAAAAAAAATTAATTTCTCCTTGTTAGAGAAAAATGCAGGAGAATGAAAGGCTCTCTTGCTTAGTGTATACGCCTGTGCATCCTTGCTCTTAGAGTAAGTCTAGAAGCAGTCATAAAAAGTAGGTCGAAGTTCAGGATCCCAGTTCAAATCTATTCTCTACCACACCAGTGCTCCTTAGAGAATGGTTATGTCCACTGTCAGGCTAGAAGAATATAAAATGAGCTTGAGAATTTATTGTGGAGACAGAGAATAAGGAAATGCTTAAGAGTAACATGAGCCTGCATAAAGAATTCGGGGATCAATCGGAAGTAATTCCTAACAGTCAAAGCCAGAACAACTTGGCCAATAAAACAAATAACAATAACATCAAATCTTGCTCAACAAGGGTTAGGACACTTTTGCCTGTGGCAAAAGTGGTAGACTCCCCTTTGTGCAAGGTGTTTTTATTTTTTTCAAACAACAGAGTTTAAGCTGGGCGCTGGTGGCTCATGCCTGTAATCCTAGCTACTCAGGAGGTTGAGATCTGAGGATTGTGGTTCAAAGCCAGTACAGGCAGGAAAGTCCGTGAGATTCTTATCTCTAATAAACCACCAGAAAACCGGAAACGACACTGTGGCTTAAGTGGTAGAGTGCACCTTAAGCTGAAGAGCTGAGGGACAGTGCTCAGGCCTAGAGTTCAAGCCCCACAACCGATCAAAAAAAAAAAAAAAATTGAGTTTTGCTCTATGCTCAGGCTAGCCTGAACTATGATCCTATTTGTGGTTCCTTAGGCTGCTAAGATGACAAGTTCAAATCTCCACACCCAGTCATTAAATGAGATTCACCCCTCAAATCCCAGGCTTTGGATGAGAGAGTCCCAGTTTGGCCTCAAATTGCAATCACCTATCTCTGTTTTCCAACTAGCTAGGATTACAGGGATGAGCCACTTCACCCAACCTTTTCTTTGGAAGGTCTTGGGGCTTGAATTCTGGGCCTGGGCACTGTCCATGAGCTCTTTCACTCAAGGCTAGGGTTCTACCACTTTGAGCTACAACACTACTTCTAGTTTTCTAGTGGTTCATTGAAGATAAGAATCTTATGTACTTTCCTGCCCACGCTGGCTCTGAATTGTGATTCTCAGATCTCAGCCTCCAGAGTAGCTAAAATTACATGAGTGAGCCATTGGCACCCAGCCACTTTACTCAGCTTTTAAGAAAAAAAAAGCCACTTTACTCAGCTTTTAAGAAAAAAAAAAAAACAATTTCTGGGGCTGGGAAGGTGGCTCAGTGGTAGAGTACTTGCCTTGCATGCATGAGGTCCTGGGTTCGATTCCTCAGCACCACATAAGCAAAAACAAAAAAGCTGAAAGTGGCACTGTGGCTCAAGTGGTAGAGCGCTAGCCTTGAGCTGAAGAGCTGAGGGACAGCATGCAGGCCCAGAGTTCAGGCCCCATGACCAAACCCCCCCCCCAAAAAAAAATTTCTCAACAAAATAAACATACAAGTTCATGCTACTGTAAACATTCAGTTAAATACATCAATGGAGGGAAAAGGAGAGTCTTTTCCTACAGAAATTCCAATTTTATTAATAACACGGGAAAACAGAAAACTACTGGTTTAATTTAAAAGTGTCAAGGTCATTGAATGACACCAAGAAAGACTGGGGGACCACGACAGATTTCAGGACAATCATGAAAAATAACTACATGCAATGTAACAAGTCCACCATTAAAACCCAGGGAGACCCTGAGTCTAGTGTATATGCCCATGCCTACTTCCAGGTTCCATTCACACTGGGGGAAGTTATGAGGAGGACACATGAAAACGTGCTGCATGTAACTTCCTATTGTGTTTCAAATTTAGCTCCAGGAAATTAAAAAAAAGAAAAGAAAAGCAAGAGTTCTCCTGACTATGAAGTAGACAAGCACAGGGACAGTGTCCTAGCACCTCCCTTCATCTTCTAGAAGGACAGTATGGTATGAAATGATGAACCAGTAAATAAACGCACTGACAGGCTATGGTGTCAAGTAAAGTTCCAAGCCTGTACAGACAAAACAAAAATGCCACAGGTCAAAAATATTTCACATGTAGCTGGGTGCCAGTGGCTCACGCCTATAATCCTTGTTACTCAAGAGGCTGAGAGCTGGGGATCATGGTTCAAAGCCAGCCTGGGCAGGAAAAGTCTATGAGACATTTTTTTTTTGGGGGGGTCCGATTGTGGGGCCTGAACTCTGGGCCAGGGCGCTGTCTCTCAGCTTTTCAGCTCAAGGCTAGCACTCTACCACTTGAGCCACAGCGCCACTTCCAGTTTTTTCTGCTTATGTGGTGCTGAGGAATCGAACCCAGGGCCTCATGCATGCAAGGCAAGCACTCTACCACTGAGCCACCTTCCCAGCCCTCTGTGAGACTCTTATCTCCAATTAATCACCAGAAAACCCGAAGTGGCGCTGTGGCTCAAGTGGTAGAGTGCTTGCCTTAAGCTGAAGAGCTCAGGGACAACACCAGGCCCAGAGTTCAAGCCCCACAACTGACCAAAAACAAAGAAAGAAAGAAAATATTTCACATGTGAAAACAGAGCTGGGTGCTGGAGGCTCAGGCTTATAATCCTAGCTACTCAGGAGGCTGAAATCTGAGGATTGTGGTTCAAAGTCAGTCCAGGCAGGAAAGCCTGTGAGACTCTTATCTCTCCAATGAACCACCAGAAAACCAGAAATGGTGAGGTAGCTCAAAGTGATAGCATACTAGCCTTGAGCAAAAGAGCTCAGGGACAAAGCCTAGTCCAAAACAAAGAAAGAAGACAATTCAGAAATAACAGCATGGTATGCAAAGCTCCAAAACAATTGTTTAGTGCTTCTTGGCCCTGAACTGGCAGAAAGTTAACTCTAAGACAATATGAATTCCTAGGTCACATGATAGCTTGTCATCTGACCTACTTGAGGATTTTTTTTCTCATGGCTACTGGAAATAGGGAGCAGCTAATCTGTAAACTGGAAAACAGATCAAACCTGTGACTATTTTTGATCTCCTTTGCTGCCTACCATGAATAATAGGTGACAACACATTTGTTATAAGCTACTTTTTTTTTCTTTTGCTGGTTGCGGGGCTTCAACTCGGCCTGGGCACTGTCCTTGAGCTCTTTTGCTCAAAGCTAGCATTTTACCACTTTGAGCCACATCCCCAGTCTTGGTTTTTGACTGGTTAATTGTAAATAAGAGTTTTATGGGGACTTTTCTGCTTAGATTGGCTTCGAACCCCAGATCTCAACCTTCTGAGTAGCTAGGATTGCAGGTGTGAGCCACCTGTACCAGACTTACAAGCCACTTTTGATGTCTTGAATTAGTACTTCAGCAGACACTGTTACAAGAACACAGGAATACTTGAGATTGCTCCCCAGTAGGCGTTCGCAATCCTATCACAGAGCAATGCTCCAGATCAGGATTACCAAGAAAGCATTATCTGCCTCCCAACGTCTCCAGAGTTAACCACCAAATGAGGTGGTTTAAACCCAGGTATTTTCAACCCATCCCACTCCACCATATTTCATGCACATACTGCTGAGGCATTTAGAGTTGGGTGCTGGTAGCTCCCGCCTGTAATCCTGGCTCAAAGTGGTAGAGTGCTAGCCTTGAGCAGAAGCCTTGAGCAGAAGAGCTCAGGGACAGCACCCAGACCCTGAGTTCAAGCTCCAGGACCAAAAACAACAAAAACAAAAAAAGAAACAACAACCAGTATCCATAGAGGGAAATAAGTAACACACAAAAAAATTGCAAGACACAGATGTGTCTGCTTGTTCTTGAAGCACAGAGATAGGTCCCTGAGCTAAATACTTCTCACTGTCTAAAGTACACATTCAACAACCATCAATAAGTGGTTGATAAGTAAGTGTATCATTAATAACTTTCATACTTCTTTTCTTCCTTTTACTTAATCGCCAGAGCATTATGAAAATGAAGACTTCTTATGCTTTTTAATAGGAGACAAAAAAACGAGCAGGAAGTGTCACACCTACTATAACCTACTGTGCTGAATGCAGAGTCCAAAGGCTGCGTAAGGGTCAGGATTCTATTACCATGTCCTGTGCCCTGAACAGTCTGTCAAAAGGATAACCCAAAGGCTGACCAGCTTGATACTGATCCCAAAGCTACGTAGTAGCTAAAACTAAAGTTTTCTACTATCAATCTGACATTTCTATGATATCAAAATACTAGCCAAAAATACTTATCCTCATATACTTCTACAGTGGGGAAGGGCACAGCCAGTTCTGGGAAAAAGCTGACTTTCTGCAGGGAAAAGCTGAAATCTCACAATTTTTAAAAAAAGGCTACAGAGATTTTAGTTTTCCTTTTGATTCATGGTGGCTAAAGGACACAGCACTCCCTCCTCCTTTATGACCTAAATGTAGCATCAGCTTGAAAGAAAAATTGAAACCTCACTTTCCTCTGGAGTGAATGGCATGGCCAGAGCCCCCTCAGAGTCAGCGTGAGCAAGATGAATCCTACACCTGCACCCCTTTGATCCCGAGAAGAATGGTACATTACCGGCCTTCCTTTTGGTTCACCATGGGCCTTTTCGTTAGATTCCATTTGATCCCCTTTCATGCACCTACAGACAATTTCATGTGGGTCTCCCACAAAACTGAAGTCATTTTTGGTTAGTATTGGTTTGTATCCATGAAGGAAAGGAAAATTGTTTACTGAGACTAAACTGTGAAAAGAAAAAAATCAGAAGAAATAGCTAATCCTTACTCCGTATCCGCTCTCTCACCCAAAATACGTTTAAGACAATCTGAAGTTAGGTGAAGAGAATAAGAATAGAGATTCCTAGCGGTACTACCACTCCATGCTGTCTTATGGGAGGTGATTTGATTGGCAAACCCTAAATCTCTGTGGTGCACAAGTGCTGCTGGGAACCTGGTGGTTGCTAAGCAGCAGTAAGCAGCACACACATGAGCAAGGACACTGGCAAGGGTCAGGGCCACAGCACATGCTCAAAGCACCTGCATGGTCAGATGACTCAGAATGGGGACCACTATCAACTGGTGTCTGAAGGAGCTCTAGGTGTCACGTCACAGAGGGATGTTTTATCTGAACCCATCAAAATTGAATTGAAGATGAAAATTTTGAAAAAGAGCTCCCACTGGCCGGGCGCTGGTGGCTCATGCCTGTAATCCTAGCTACTCAGGAGGCTGAGATCTGAAGGGCAGGAAAGTCTATGAGACTCTTATCTCCAATGAACCACCAGAAAACCGGAAGTGGTGCTGTGGCTCAAGTGGTAGAGCGCTCACCTTGAGCTGAAGAGCTGAGGGAAAGTGCCCAAACCCAGAGTTCAAGCCCCACGACTAACCAAAAAAAAAAGAGCTACCACCTTTTTGCAACTTTAAGAGAAAATTCCACAGGATAAAATCCTAATCAGTAAGGATTACAGTCACGTACCCTGTAGAAGACCCCCCCTCCCTCAGGTGCCACTGTGGGCATACTCCAAGTTGTCATGGCCATTGCTAGGACAGTACTGCAACATTCCAAATCTCTAGGAGTGTGCACCTGGGTGCAAACCTATTGGTCTGAATGAACTAAATTCATCTCAGTCCAGCAAGAATAACCTGTGATAAAATGAAACATAAATCTGTCAGCCAGGCACCAGTAGCTCATGTCTGTAATCCTGAAGATCACAGTTCGAAGCCAGCCCAAGCAGGAGAGTCCCTGAGGTGCTATTCTCCAATTAACCAACTCAAAAACTGGAAGTAGAGCATGGCTCTAAGTGGTATAGTGCTAGCCTTGAGCAAAAGAGCTCAAGGACAGCCCTGTGAGTTCAAGGCCCATGACTGGCAAAAATTAAAATAAAAAAATAAAAAAAATTCTCCCAATCTGAAGAGGATTGAGAAATTCTGAAAGCTATTGGTTTTGAGTAATCCTGTCAAAACACAGTGAATAGTCAGTTACAGGTATGTTTATGTCCTAATCCCTCAAATCACGTATACTCACTAACAAGACAAGATCAGACAAGAAAAGAAAACAAATGTAAGCAAAGATAAGAGCTACCTAGTGTCTTAGCCAGCAATTCAATTGTCCTGTTAACCTAGCCATCCTCAAAGTCCTCCGTCCACAAGCAGGCTGAAAATTGCAAAGTGATCTCTGAGAAATATTCAAAAGCTGTGGGAATCTACAAAGTTCACAGACACCAGAGAGTCTCAACCTTTTTCTGAAGTCCTGAGAGAAGGAAAGGCAACAACACCCACTGACTGGCCAGCAGGGTAAGCGAGCTGTCTGGCCAGGGGCCAAAGCTGGCTCCTCCATCTGCGGCCAAGAGAACAAGCTTCACAGTTTTAAATGGCTGAAAAAAAATGTTAAAGAACCTATTTCCTTATAAGTGTCAGCACTCACTTACGAAAGATCTTTTTTGAACTTTCCCAAGCTTTTCTGAATGTACTGTGTTCATAAGAACTCCTGTATCATTTATATGTAATAAATATACATGTATGTAAAAGTATATAGAAAAAAAAGACCTATTTCCTGGTATGTGGAAATTAAACGAAACTCAAATTTTAGTTTCATTAAAAACAAAGTTTTGCTTAAGCACGACCTCCTCATTTGTTTGCGTGCTGCCAGTGCCTTTGCATGCCAACGACAGAACTGAATAGTTGAGACCAAGGCCATATGAAATTTATCTAGGCTCAAGAGTTTGCCAAAACCTGCCCCGTAATAACAGTTGCTGCTAATGTGCCCGGAAATAACTGGCTTTAGCTGTGTAACTGCACA